GACCTCTCTGCCACAAGACGTAGAGGTTGACTTCTCTGCCAGCAGAAATAAGGATTCTTCAATGAACAGGCGCCGCTCACGTTCGGCAGACCGCTCAAACATTGATATTGGGAAAGAAACTCCGAGACGTTCACGGTCATCACAGGATGCTAGCAGGGATGGGAGTAAGGAGGATCCGGACAGATCACTCCCAGAAGAACAGCCTGGTAGTCTCACTGAAGGTGCGTTTTCCGATTGGAAAATTCACTCATCCCAATTTTTAGGAATTCTTATCATCGTTTTTTGATTGTAATTCTTTCTTTTTCGCTGTGGATTTACTGAAATATTCAAAACAAATGCACAACAGTTTGTCAAGCCGTATAGATCGCTTGTATGGTTGCCAGCTCGAGACGAATGGCCACATACAAGAGTTAGAACATGTGATTATACATAAATCCCATCGACAAGAAATAGATGTTGATGAAGAAAACCTTGACGATGAGAATTTCTCATTGCCAGTAAAATCCAATGCTGAGTTTTATTTATTTGATGAAAAACTCAAGGATAAGGGATATATTAGAAAAGTGGTAAGGTTACAACTTATTTATGTCAACTTGTAATAACTTAGAACTAAATCGATAAGGAGTGGTGAAACAAGATAACTTAATTCATCTTTTCACTATTCAACTCGACTCATGGATGAAACTGACCGAAACTGATATTTTCCAACTATATTTATACATACATTTTTTCTTATAGGCCTCAACTCACTCCACAAAAAAGGTTATAATAAAAATTAAACTGTCTTCTCTGACTTTCGAAATTGTCATAAAAAACTGGGCCATAGTCTAAAGTTACTAATATCGTTGTGTCACTTCTACTTTTTTTTTCATGTTTTTCCTTTTGTGTAACAAAAAGGCTCAACGAGTAAAACGAATGGTTGACAAAAACGAAATAAAAACGCATAATCTCTCATCAATCATGCGCATTTTCCTTAGCAAAAATGTAATTGTCAATGATTTCACCGCACTGAAAAAAACTGCTACTAAAGACGTATTCCAGGAGACTACATAGTACCAGCTTTTAAAAGGTATAATACTAGTTGAATGAACATTTATTTACGTTCCGCTCTGCATTACTGACATAAAATAATTAATTCATAAAATGTACTAATTTTTAGTGATTCATCAAACCGTTCAAGGTACTAAATTTGATGATAAAGCATTCAATAATGCTCTGAAAAGTGTTTGCAACTCGGCAAATGAGTGGGAAGGTGGACGTGTGGCTCGTTTATAAAAAGAATCATATTTCTACAATTTATTCAAAATTAAATGAATAATTCAAATTTATAGTTTCGTCTCTTGTGTGATAATCGGTTAAAGAATGGCTTCAACCACTATACCACTATACTACACTATATTCACCACTATAATTTGTGAGTGAATTCTTTTCCTATCATTTTCTTTTTTTTCGAAAAACTGTTTAATAACTTCTTCGTTATAAGAATTCGTTACATTCATTTCAAACACATCAAGAGCTACACATGCATTAGAAAATTATTGTAATTTTAAAAAAGCAGTGCAATTTGTCAAGCTTTTTTTGGATTAATTAGAGTTATTAGTGAGTGTTATTAGAGTGTGAGAGTTATTAGTGAGTGTTAGAGTTCATAGAGTGAAGGTGTATCTTAGAAAGGAAACAGCATAGGATTAATTTATATTTCTTTTGATTTTCGACAAGTCCGTGGGCTATTTCTAAAAAAAATACTACTATTTTCAAGAAAGATTTAATGTATTATTTTGTTTGTGCAGAATTGTCTTTTCTAAAATGACAACTATTATTGCCATTGAATGATCAAAATTGTTTTGTTATCGTTTTTGTTCTTTAACTCGAGAGTTACATTATTTGCTCTAAAATATTTCTATCTATTGAAAAATACGTGTTTTTTTTAAGTGACTAGCGTATATGGCGCGCTCTGCGCGCCAAATCGTCTACGTATGGGGTGTTATCATTGGAATATATATATATTCATATATTTCCAATGTAATATATACATATATAGAATTTCAAAAAGAAGATAGAAAAAAGTCTAAAAATTTATATAAAAAAAAATCATTTAAAATTTAATAAATTATATTAAATTTATA